TTTATGTGTGCTGAACTTCTGTTGTGTTACAGATTTGAAGTGTTTTCTGATCATGTATACTAGTTTATGTGTAATTTCTGCCCATAGCCCATGAGTATCATAAAACAATTTATTCAGTGTTTGAAAATATATGGAATGTTTTATGTTTTTGTTTTACTTATGTATTTTTATTGTGGCAGTGCTGTGCAGCCCATCATAGACTCAGGCTCTGTTACACTTGGCACTGTATAAATGCAGAACACAGATCTACTTCCTGCCCAAAGAACTTGCAGCGAAAGAATATGGACCTGGACATGGTGCAATCAGCTTTGCACCAGTAAAAAAAAATTATGAATGGAAAATGTAAACTCTCCACTGGGGTAACTGCTGAATTCAATAGAGCAGGGCCTGGCCACCTTTTTCAAGCTGTGGGCTGGAACAGCCCAAACCCAGACTGGTGCAGTCTGGGTGACTTCATCAGTACATCAATGGTGGAGGTGTTCCCTGCACCTCTGCCAAAACTGCTCAGCTGATAGATGTGTCCATGCACCATTGCTTCTCCCAGCCCCCTGCTCCTCAGCTGTGGTGCAAGCACAGACCTCAGCTGAAGGCTGGCTGTGCCAGGGCCAGGGCCAGGGAGCTGGAAGCTGCTTCCACGCTGCTGGGGCTTCTCCCTAGCACTAATGAAGTTCTGCTCTGGTTGGAAACTGCATTTATTTAAACGGCAGCCTTGGAGATGGGGGAGGGAGCAGAGAGAAGCAGCTCTGGCAGCAGCAGCAGCAGGGGTACAGCTTCCAGCTCCCCAGCACAGCTCTCCTCTCACTCCAAGCTGCGCCCATGCCACACAGCCCTGAGAGAGGCTGGGGGGTGGTGAGAAGCAGCAGCAGTGAGGCATGGCTTCCAGCTCCCTGGATCCAGCACAGCTCCTAGCTGCTCAGCCCCAGAGCAGGCATGGGCACAGGCAAAGGAAAAGCCCTGTGGCTCCATGGGCCAGATTCAGTGGCTTCACAGGCCAGATCTGGCCCACAGACTGTATGTTGCTTACCCTTGCAATAGAGAATTACCCCAGAAAGAATCAAGGGTAAATCATTCCAGTTTAGGTTTTGTCTGTCTACATCCATCCTGGGTTAGCTATTTATTAAAGGCAAGCAAGTTGTTACCTGCTCCGCTGCCACCTAGCAGTGAGGTACTGATATAGTTGGCTATTCTGTAAGTAACCCTGGAATTGCTGCACATCTGTCTGTTCCTGATTCTGGTGTAATTTACATTGGTATGGAACACCAATGTGAGTTACACCAAAGTATGTGGTATGTTAATGTGTCTGTGCCCTAAGATTAGAGGTAACAGGTGAAACATAGGAGAAACACAGACAAAGGAGTATAGGAAAACAATGGTTAGCGCAATAGGCAGTGACACCAGCAGTCTAAGCTTTGGCAAAGATGTTATTACAGTTATCATGGCAAACGAGAGCTTTAAGAAGGATCTGAAGCAGGAGAATGAGATGGTTTAGTGGATGTTTATCTAGAAAGCCTCTTTTGTTTGAAAGGCAGTGAGGAGGAAATCGCAAAAGTGCTTTTGTTAAAAATGTAACAAATGGTTGATGAAACTGGCAAGCAGAGGAGAGCATCAACACCTGCGAGTTTAGCCAGTTTGTTCTTCCGCTGAAAAGTTGAACTTCCAAACTCAGGAGTGGATTTTAAAGTACAATGACCTTACTAGCAATAACTGTTTTCCTCATAGTTTCTATTTTCTTGTCAGTCCCTGTGCCTGAGCAACCCAAAACTTCAGTAAAGCTCTTGAAATGGAAATTTAGCTTCATGTTTAGGTTTGAATCAGGATATAACCAATGTCCCAAAGGCCTGGTCTATACTTGGCAGAAAAAAGGGAAAAAGGGGGAAAGATTCTTACCTGGAAAGCAAGTGGAAATGTTTGGAATTTGGTAAAAAAAAGAATCGTTTCCTGCCTCCACACCAGAAAATTTGAAAAACTTTTTAAAATACTGAAATGCAAGTTCTATGAGCTTGGTAATGAATTTTGAATGAATTTGAGGTTTGGGGATAAAGATGAGAGGAGGACAGTGGGATTCGTATTGTGTGGAGTTCTGGGAAGGAGC